AGGGTGTAAATCTTTACGGGAGTAGAAAGCCTCATCTTTCTCCCGCGGAGCGGCTGGTAGTTTCGAACCGCTGACCTTAAGGTTCGCAGCCCGATTCGTAGCCACTACGCTACCAGAGCTCCGACTATACCACCATCAAAATGGGAAATTATTCCATCACTGTTTGTACAAATACAATGGCTACAGGCAAACTTCTCTGATAAGAAGCTCTCAAGTGAGATATTTTAAATGCTGTACATTATATGTATTTTGCAGTAGAGAACATTATGAATTTGCTATCTTAGTTAACATTGATACGAATTAGGTTTTTTGATCCTTCGGTTTTTGAATATCTTTTTAAGACCAAACATGAGTATGTGTGAATTGACATAAATTGTTATTAAGGGCTGTCCAGTTGGTTCCAACTCAGCGACACTGTATAGGGTTTCCAAGAGTTAAAAAAGTCTCATTTTTTTTTCCTGTGGAGTGGCTGGCAGATTTGAACTGCTGAACTTGCAGTTATCAGCCTAACTTGTATGTAATTTACTTGAGATGAACATAGTATTTGAATCAATTTATACATTATAATAGTGAAAAGATTAAAATTTAAATTCAACATACCTGGAAATCTACAGCTCTTTTATTTGCTAGGTCAGCCTTGTTTCCTGATAAAGCTATTACAATGTTAGGACTTGCTTGCCTCTGAAGTTCTTTAACCCAGTTTTTTGCTCTTGCAAAGGATTCCTGGTTGATACAAAGAAACACCTATTTGGCATGGGCTCAAAAATGATTAGGGAACACAATGATGAGGAAAGGTTAAACCACTATCTCATGTTGCCAGGTAGAAAAGAAATGTCTAGGACTACTATACTGAGACACAGTTGTCTTACTTTTAAAAATTAGCATTTCGAACTTATAAAAAAGTCATGCTTAACTAAAAAAAAGTAATAATAAAATTAAAAAGAAAAAAGACTTCTCAAAATCTTTAATCAGAATTCTGAGTAATAAAAATAGATACTCAAACTTGCTTCACTGTGGAACTCTATTTGTACTTACCTCATTTGTGATATCATACACAACTATGGCTGCTTGTGCCCCTCTGTAGTACATTGGTGCTAGGCTATGGTATCGCTCTTGACCAGCTGTGTCCCATATTTCAAATTTTACTGTTGTGTCATCAAGACACACAGTTTGGGTTAGAAAAGCAGCTGAAAAAAGAAAATTTCTACAATAAGTTCATAGCATTTTCCGCTCTAAAAATTTTAATAGACAAAAAGTGAGACTTGACACACTGCAGGATTATAGTTAATAATGGCTTTAAGATCTATGCTTCCAAACAGAAGCTAATCATAAGACCATCATAGTGAAAACTTAAACTGAAAAAGTTTTTTTTAGGTTTAAAACAGTTTGTTATACTATGAAATGATTTTCTAAAAATTTAAAAACATGAGTGCATTGATTCTACTGGAGAAAAAAAGGGAATCATAAACATAATTACTATTTAAACTGACAGTACCATGCCTTGCTCCTAGTCCATTCCACTGGTTTTGACTGACATATTCTGGGCATTTAGTCTCAATCCATTAGCACTACCTTAGTATTTTTTGTTATATTATTCTTTCAAAACATTATGACACTTTAATTTTGTAATCATTATGATCTCAGTCAAAGGAGCTCTGGTAGCATAGTCGGTTATGTATTGGCTATTCACAAGGTTGACAGTTCAAATCTACCAGCTCTGGTACCATAGTGGGTTATGCACTGTGCTATTCACAAGATTGGCAGTTCAAATCTACCAGACACTCACGGGAGAAAGATGATGCTTTCTGCTCCCATAAAGATTTACAGTCTCAGAAACCCCACACAGAATGCCTATCAGTCAGATATGACTTCAGGGCATATCACCACCACCACACCACCATGATCTCAGCCTAGACTTGTTAAACTGTTGTTGCTGTTAAGTACTGTTGAGTCGGTTCCAACACACAGTTACCTTGTTTAGGGTTTCTAAGGAGCGGCTGGTGAGTTTTGAACGACAACCCTTGAAGTTCAAACCGACCGTGCTGTGCAGTGCTTATCCTACAGCACCACACCAGGACTCTAATTTGTTAAATATTTGTTCACCATTCCTTTCTATCTCTCACAGTCTTTGCATAAACATTTCTGGATCTGAACTTTCTCATTTGATTTTCTCAAGATTATTTGCTTTTAACACTTGTTGTTATGTGCCATGGAGTCAGTTCTGACTCATAGGGACCCTGTACAGGGTCTCCGAGGTTGTAAATCTCTACGGGAGCATAGAGCCTCATCTTTCTCCTGTGGAACTACTAGTTTCGAACTGCTGACCTTGAGGTTCGCAGCCCGATTCGTAACCACTATGCGACCAGAGCTCCTTGCTTTTAACATTCGCAATATATAATAATGTTATTTTTGCTTTTAAAATTAAAATGCCAAGTCTTACAACAGAATCATTGTAGCACTTAACTAATTCTCTAGGGTCTAAAGTCACTGCAATAGGTAATCATGTAATGTATTCCTTAAAATTAATTTTAGAAGGTATTACAATCATGTGAATTAAACTTTGTCAACTACTATATAAGTTTCTAAGTTCCATTAGCTGCACTAAAAAAAGATGTTGTTGTTAAGTTCCATTGAGTCAATTCCAACCCAAAGCAACCTTGTATAGGGTTTCCGAGGAGCAGCTGATGAGCTTGAACCGTCGACCTTGCAGTTCAAACGGCTTTGCAGTCTGGAGCGCTAACCCACAGTGCACCAAGAAAAGACGTATGTAAAATTCCTACATATATCCATTTTTATCAGCATGCTGTCTATGTTGTTGTTAGGTGCCATCAAGTCGGAACCGAATCATAGTGACCCTATGCACAGCAGAACGAAACAATATCCGATCCTGGGCCAACCTCACTACTGTTGCCACACTTGAGTCCATTGATGCTGCCACCTGGCTAATCCATCTCGTTCGGGGTCTTCCTATTTTTTTCTGACCCTCCATCTTACCAATCATGACATCCTTCTCCAGTGACTGTTCTCTCCTGACAATATTCCTTATTCACTGCCCAGCTTTCGCATCCATATGAGGCTACTGAAAACACCATGGCCTGGGTCAGGCGCACCTTAGTCTTTAAGCTGACATCTCTGCTCTTCAATACTTTAAAAAGTTCCTGTGCAGCAGATTTGCCCAATGCAATACGTCGTCTGATCTCTTG